GGCTGAGTTTGGAAGGAATACAAATAGAAAATACAAATATGTACAGTACAAAACCTTGTATTTTTATGCATTTTTAATGTACATATTTGTATTTGTACTCTTTCCAAATTAAGCCTAAATGAATATATGCATGGGATTTGTTAAATGAAGGTTAAACAATAGAAACACATAAGAGTATATAATTGCTTTCTATTTTTAACTTTTTAAATAATTAATAATTATTTATATTTCGGGTTTGACCATGATATGGGAAAGATATGATATCTAAAAATTTTTTGACCAACCAATTGGTATCATAAACGTGGTAGCCAATCAAGTATTATTTATCAAAATTCATGGGTGGATTTTGACTGGTCAAAATTAAACTCTTTTGATACCATACCTTTTCCGTGTTGGTCGGTTTTCTAGTATTTTCAATCAACTTTGGTTCAACAATTCCCCAACCCAACCAGGTTGGATCTATTCCACTTTGTCCATTTGTAAATCGACCAAAATTGAATGACCCAACTATAGATATATATTAATATTTTATGTTTTTAATATATCTTTTAATGTGGAAAAGTAGAGATATTTTCATATTTCATAATCTAAAATATTTTATATGATAAATTTAATTTTTAAATTTATTTTTTAATAATGCCACTGTAATTTTCTTTTAAAATTTAAATCTTTTGAACCAACCGACCAAACCGAAAATTGGCCCAAAACGATACAACCTAAGTTGGTTGATTTTCACTAATAGCCAATTGATTTCGAGTGACCAACTCCCTAACCGGACCAGGTCGATTTGGTTGACTAAACAACTAACAACCAACCCATAAACACTCATAATTTTAGCTAAATTAATAGTCTAATCTCTAATAAATAACAATAATTTAATCTCCAATAATTATTGAAAATTTATAGCAAAAATGCGCAACTATTAGAATACAACAAATACTAAAAAATTTATTAAATTAGTTTATAAATAGTGTAATCTCAAATAATAGTTTAATCTCTAATGAACATTAATCAATAAATTATAACAAAAATACAATAAATTAAATTTAAAAAGTTAAATAATAGTAGTTTAATCTCCAAAAATTATTGAAAAAATTCTGTTAAATAACATAAAAAAAATAGATTTATACATAATTACTGAAAATGTATTTATCACAAAAAATAAATAATTATTGAAACTTTCCCTACATAATTTTGTTAAAATATTTAAATAATTTTTAAATTTCTAATTCAAACTTTCCTTAGATCGATATAAATAAAAAGTAGGGAGAGGATAAATTGGAATTAGAGTTAATTTAGGAGAAAGTAGGGGATAGTGGGGGAGGTAGTTTAGGAGAAATTTTAGGAGAGGATATTATATAGGTTATTGGAAACCTATGGGAGAGAGAGAGAGAGAGAGGCTTTAGGTAATTATGGGGAAGGAAAGCATCTCATTGGTTGTTTAATAAATGACATGGAATAAAAAATAAAAAATAAAAAAAAAGTAGACAATTTCTAGACTGTTGTATTTTAGTATATACTAGCAAGGGACTGTGCGATGCACAGGTTTTGTTAAAGCAGTTTCAAGCAATAGAGCTAAAGGTGCAAGTTAGGTATACCTAATTCAAGCTTAACTCGATTCAATCAAAGATTTTGTACAAGTTGGGTTTGAGTTTTTTAACTTTAAGATGAGTTTGAGCAAAAAAGTCTTGGGCCTAAATTAAACTCAAATTGGGCTTAGGTTGAGGCCTCGGGTACTGATCTGATGCAATTTAAGTTTTCCCAACATTTTATGATATATATTATCAACTTAATTATTCTATATGGAAATTGAGCTACAAAGCTCAATATGCCCAAGCCCAAGCCTAGCCCGAGTAGGGATGGCAATAGAGTGGGTTCAGAGAGGGTTTTGCAAATTCTAGACTTTACCTACCTAACGGGTTGAATTTTGAGAATCCAAATCCTCCCCACATGAAAATGCAAAACCCTCCCCGTATTCAAGGATAGGGGTGGGTTAGATTTAAAACCCACATCTAATTTCCTATTACTTTTTGTTATATAAAAGCAATAAATAAGTAAAATACCATAAATAAACAACAAAATTTGCAATGATTTGATTAAGATGTAAAAGAACACATAAACCATCAACTATCCTTTACATCTAATTCGATATATTATTAAATTCAACACCTAGTACATAAAGTTTATATGCTTTCCAACAATATGCAGGTTGAGGGGATCGATTTTAGCCTAATACCGTACCCTACCCGTAATGTATGAGTTGTATAACCCCGAAATCCATCCTTTAAAAAAAAAAAAAAAAATCCACTCCATTGAGATGAGTAGGGGTCACAGCGTAGGGTAAAAATTTACATCCCTAAGCCCAAGATGCTTAGTTAAGGTTGAGTTGGGCCTAAGTTAGTAAACTCAGGCCTAACCTTGAATTGGACCAAGCTTGAGCTTGAGGTTTGAGACTTAGAATTGGATTTTCCCTCAACCTGACCCAACCCACTCAAGTTGTACCTAACAGGGACCCATGCAACGGACAAGCTTTGTTAAGCTAAAGTTAAACAATAAAAGCACATAAGAGTAGACAATTGTTTTATATTTTAATCTTTTAAATAATTACAATTACTTGTGTTTTATATACTACTTTTAATTTTTTTTACAATACAAAAATAACAATAATTAATTTCAGCTAGGTTGCTCATTAAACCGGTGAAACCGACCAACATAACCCAACTCGACTTGAGTTGGTCAGTTTTCTAGTATTTCTAGTGGGTTTCGATTCAGAAATTTCCCAACCTAAACAATTTCGGTTTGGCCATTTGTAGATCAACAAAAACCAAACCGACTCGAATTGACTTCTATTTGAATTCGATCGTTGATAATATTTGAATAATCTGAATTTTGATTCGAATATGTCAAATCTCAAATTCAAACTCGGATTTTCTAATATCGTTTACACTCCTACTATTTTGCATGTAATGTTTATAGAATCTATCAAGGGTTCGTTTAATTGGTTTACAGTCGGAACCAAAATCGAAATGAGAATCAGCTGGAATGATATCTCATTCCCAAGGGAGGAGGGATTGGGGGGAATGTCGTCGTTCTACCGGTTTCAATCCATTAAGCCCCCCTTGGCATGGTTGAAATAACAACAATGTGGTGTGGATCTCATTCCCAAGGGAGGAGGGATTGGGGGAATGTCGTCGTTCTACTGGTTTCAATCCATTAAGCCCCCCTTGGCATGGTTGAAATAACAACAATGTGGTGTGGATACTTTGTCAAACAAAAATTTGAATAAAACATCTCAATAATTTTTTATAAAATTATACAAAGGCGATTGTATCCGTTATTGCTAAATTCAATTTATGCTATATAGTGTGGACTGAACCAAGTGACATGACCGATGCCTTCAAAAGAATGTTCTTTAGGCTTGGTTTGAAGGAGTACAAAGGCAAATATACATAGAGTGCAAAAACTAACTTATATTTTGTTTATATTTATACTTTATATATTTGGAAGGAGTGTAAATACCGATCCAATGCATTGTTGCATCCTGGTTCATACTTACATGCGTTTGGAGACGTCGTAAAAACACCCAAGATCGATGTAAAATTGCAAATATGTCCGGATTTACATCAATCTTGCGATGAAATCGATTTTTTCGAAGTAAAACTTTACGCCCTTCCTTCATCGAGGGAAATAAGCAAGGAGTTTACCTCATCCACCACCAGCACGATGCAGTCGACCATCGTGCTCGGGGCTTTTGTTTCTCGATTCCTTGTTGGCAGTCGACCTCCGGTGGTGACGATTCTTCTCTGTTCGCATCCACCACCCGTCGTTGTTCGCATCTACCACCACCAGTCGACCATCGAGGGAAATAGGTGAAAAATAACTTCGGTGTTCGTAGTTCGCAGTTCGCAGTTCGCTGTTCGCAATCGACCTCTGGTGGTGACGATTCTTTGCTGTTCGCATCCACCACCTGTCGCTGTTCGCTTCCACCACCACCAGTCGACCATCGAGGGAAATAGGTGAAAAACAACTTCGGTGTTCATAGTTCACAGTTCGATGCTTGCAGTCGACCTCCGGTGGTGATGATTCTTTGCTGTTAGATCCAACTACGTGCGCACTCTCTCTCTCTTTCTCTTTCATTTTGAGTGGAGGAGGGTTTCGATTTTCTTGATTTGAAGTCTGAACTGCTCTCTGCACTCCCTTTCTCCTTCTTCTCCGCGATAGCAAAAGTACAAAACCCATCTCCACTACTTCTGCCAGCATCTTTTTTGCACAACAAAACCCAGCTCCCTGCCTCCCTTTTCCGGATTTTCGAGAGACGTCACCAGCACTTTTGAGTGTACGATAAGTGTTCCGACAGACCAACACTTTTGAAGGGAACGGTAATTTTTTGTAGAAAAATGAGATATTAATTTGCATTCGTATAAAATATTCAAACATTTACAAATTAATACCCTTGTTTTGCGCCAACAGTTGCCAAAGAAAAAAAGTATAAATTAAAGGTAAAATTCGGTTCACAATTGCATGTTCCTGAGCCGGAGATGTGAGATTTTGCAGAGTGTATTTTTGTATTTACACTCCTTCAAACGCAGCCTTATGATTTGGGATCTGCTCCTCTTACACCAGCCTAACAGCCACATCGGAACATATATTAAAAGCTTCTCTCATAATAACAACATACAACTACGGGAAATATTCCCAATGTATGGGTGGTACATGCTGTGAAGTCGGTGTGGAGCGCTAACTGTGTGAGGATCTCATTCTTTATACTGTGGCAGTGGATCAGAACCAAACCATCCCACTATTTTAAAAACGAGCCAGATTACGACCAAACCCTTAAAATGGATTGACAACCACGTCTACTGAGATGCATACGCTGGTTGTGTATTTCATTACTATTATTATTATTATTATTATTATTATTATTATTATTATTATTATTATTATTATTATTATTATTATTATTATTATTATTATTATTATTATTTTATGATAAAGCAGAGTAATGCTAAAACACCACTAGCATTAGCAAATTAAGGAAAATAAACCAAACATAGCCATTACGCATGCAGTAATACAAGATGACGAGAAAATGAAGCTCTACCTACGCATGTAATTAACCCACCAACATCAAGCCTTTTGATCCAGTTCACTAGCTATAAATAGCTAGCTTAGCTACTTCGCCTCTCCTACCACTACCAGCTTTCCTTCTTTGCCTTCCTTAGCTTCCTTTGCTTCCTTCCTTTCTTTGGCCTTCTTGATTTCCTTAAGATCAAATGCAGAAATCGGAAAAGATTTGGACAGACCCGTGGTTGTCTTGAAGGTGATCTTCCCGGAGGCTGGATCGTCGATGTATATCTCGTTCACGGTGACCCAGATCATGAGCTCCTTGGACTTCACACCACTCAACTTCTTGATCCTGCGTGGCTCCACGTAGGCTGTGATCTCCGGCGCATAGGAGGCTAGTCTCCCCGTCGTCTCGAACCTGTACTCACTCTTCTTTTTCTGTTTCAGCCACACGAAGCCAGTTTCCCTCAGGTACCCGCATTCTTCTAAATCCGGTACGATGATCAGACCGTCGGGCATTTCTACTTGTCTGAGCAACTCCTTGAATTTCGTCTGACAAACTTCATCCCCATAGTGGACCTCAGCTTTGCTTCTGATATCTTCTGTCACCAGAGACATCTCCTCTATGCCAATTCTCTCTCTCTCTCTCACTGATCCTTTTACTCCTTTGGAGATGAGGATTCAGGAGAAAATGTATGGTTCATATAGAGGGGGACTTAAAACTTTGCTATTGTTTTTTAATAGAATTACACATTTGCCATCCGTATAACTGAATTTAATAACCGTGAAAGCTGTATACATAGCCTCAATTTCCTTAAAATAATTCGTCCTCGTCTGCAACACAAGTCCCCATCAGAAATAAACACGTTAGTTGCAATAAAGTTGAAACCTCCTGAAATTGTCATGTGGATGAATGAGAGAAACCTGTGAGAAGGGAGAGAGGACACATGGACCCATGCAGAGCTCCTACGTGGACAGGCACACCCCATCTCGTCATCACACATACAGAACAATATGTTTATTTCAACCTTCAAGTGGGTATACCGCACATAATGTTCAATATGATAGGCGGGAGTCTGATCCATGTGATAGGGGTCGTTCACGGTTCATCTAAATTGACCGTTGGGTTAGGTAAGGGCAAGACCGTAGTTTCTAGGGGAAGAAGGGGCATATTGATGGGGGCCGTGTCCCGTGTGTGAGATGTATCAGTATCCAGATCCGCTCTGTTTCGACTAATTGGAAAGCTATAGGTGTGGATGATATGGTTGGTTGGTTGGTTGGACCGTCAAAACCAAAATTAATGATGGGCATATTGTCAAACGTGTAATCAATCGGACACGGGGTCTGCTGCGAATGCGTGTCAATCGGATTATTCAACCAATCACACGTAAGCCGGTTCATAGTTCATACACAGTTGGGTATACATCATAGCAGATCCAGATCCGGACTAAATCAATTTTTGGCCATACCAATGTGGTTGGGGAGGTTGACGCCAGTAAAAGGGGAAGACGTGAGGTTTAGATTTGAAAATTAAGGCAATATTGAAAACGGTTAGCTATTCAATTCATTTACATTTTACACCTTGCCCCAACGTACTTGGGTAAAAAGGTGATGCCTATTCGGGGGGGAGCCGGTGTGAATTCGATGCATGAGTAAGGATTGGCTCTCCTCACGTCGTACACCAATTACGATACATCCTAAACAAGTATTGGGAGCATCTCTCCATGGGGATGCGATCTGAAAAAAACTGTCCCAACATTTCTTTTAACGTGATTTGTGATGAGGGATGATTTGACCATGGACACGACTAGTTGATTGGACATTGATAAGACACTTCTTACCACCTCAACAAGACAGGTCACCTTGGGTATCTTGGGCACCTTAGCCAAGACCGAGGATCGAGTAACTCGTTATGACTCGACTTGTCGAGGAAACACGTATCAAACTTTTAGAAGCAAGCCAACTGTCTCCAAGTTCTTTGGGATCATGCCACACGTCTATAGACTTTATCCTCATCTTGCTCGGATCAGACGGCTTCGATAAGCCTTATATCACGAAGCCCACCTCCTAGTGGGGAACGGACTCCTACCAGCACAGACCGAGGATCTCAGAGGTGTTTCATGAGACCTACGACAACTCACCTATATAAAGGCATCTACCCCAGTGATACAAGGTACGCACAATTCATTGCTCACTAGCCTACTTGTAATCAAGTTTTCAACTTGCACACAGAGTACTGACTTAAGCATCAGAATGACCACTCCGAATAAGCCACCCTGGGTCCTCTGAAGCCTTTTTCCTTGCAGTTCGACCAACTAAGCAACCGACATCCGAGCTGCCCTCTAGCTAGGAGCATCCATATCGTGCACCATCAATTGGCGTCGTATGTGGGAACCACAACAAAAAGCTAAATTCTCACTTTTAAATTACTTACTTTTTCTGCAATATTTCATTAATAGCATCATCTAGAAACACCAACAAGAGTATTGACATGATTGTCACTAAGGGGCAAGACCAACAAGCATTTAACCTAGAGATCCCTTCTGTGACCATCGGATAGTTCACCATTCCCCTCACCATCCCAGGGACATCGACAATTCAGAGCCAGACATTTGTCACCCATTCAATCAACGCGCCCCCTACCTCATGTGAGTGCCACCCTCCCAATTGTAGCACCCTCTGTGGTTCTTGTTGGGGTAGAAGCACGACAGTTCCATGAGCTCATGCAAAGTGTCCAGGTCATGCAGCTCCAGATGTAGTAGATCCGCCAATTCTAACAGTACCAGCAGTACTACTATTACCAGCATCAGTTTCCACCGCTTCACCAGAACCAACACCAAGGACGTTGGTCACCACCTCAAGGACCGGTGCCATCTCGGATCCCTACTCCTCCACAGAACCGGATTCCACCCCGGGATCCCACCCTAGATCAACGTACATCACCACCCCATCAATTTGTGGACCAAAGAAACCACCCGTAGCATAGAAAGGTTGTGGACCAAGGCCCAAAGGTTTTAAGACCCGGAGATCCTTTCTACTAGTACCGGAGATCCTTTCTGCACCGAGGCCCAAAGGTTTTAAGACCCCAGCCTTGGAGACCTACAACGGAAAGACCGACCACAACGACCACATTGATAGCTTCCAGTTCCTGATGCTGCTCACGAGAGCTGATGAAGTTAGTTTGTGTATGGCCTTCTCAAGAACTCTAGAGGAAGAATCAAGGTTATGGTACTAGACTCAAGCTCCAGGTTCGATCAGGAGCTGGAAAGAGTTCGTGGACCTTTTCATGGTGCACTTCACTACTAGCAAGAAGTACCCGAAATCAGTTATTAGCCTCCTGAACTTGATGCAAAAGGAGAATGAGTCGTTGAGAAACTATATTAGATAGTTTAACTCAGAAAGGCTACAGATACCTAACATCAACCCAACTGTACAGCTGGCTGCAGCCAAGAGAGGAGTACGCCATCCTGATCTTCGTTGGCACCTCGGGTTGAACTCCGCGAGCACAATGGAGGCATTCCTCGAGGAAGCCGATAAGTTCATCAAGGAGGAAGAGGCTCTGAGGTCTCGGCTAGAGCTGCACCAGGCTGGGAAGAGGAAGAGAGCAGAAGAGGAGAGCAACAACAACAAGCATCAGCGAAAGAGTAAGTCGCCAAAATGAAGAAGGTCACCGCGCAACAGGCGAAGCAAGTCATCAAGGAAGAGCCAGTCGCCACCTCGGGGTTCTAGGTCAGTTCATCGATCTAGGACCCTTCCCATTCAAAGATCCAACTACACCACCTTGAATGTCAAGAGGGGCAAAGTTCTAATGTCGATCAAAGACACTGACTACATCAAGTAGCCGCCCAGGATGAGAGGAGACCCTGCCTCCAGGAACTCAAACCAGTATTGCCACTTCCACCGATACATCGGGCATGACACAGAGAGCTACCACAACCTAAAGGATGAGATCGAGAAGATAATTCACCGGGGCTATCTGAAGAAGTTCATCTAGTATGAAGACAGAGAAGCGGAACACCAACCTATTGATCATCAAACAGACACGCCAGAATCAAGTAGGTAGAATGATTGCGATTAGCAGCCGCCACAAGAATACAAACCGATCCATGGGGTGATCAACATGATCACTGGTGGATCCATTATAGCGGATTGCAACATGGCAGTGGGGAAAGAATCAGCTTGGGAGCTCGCACATGAAGACGAGAACCCATCAAAGTGCCCTCGAGTAGAGGAGGTGATCTACTTCACAAAGGATGACGTTCGTGGGATCTAGTATTGGCACGACGACACCCTCATTGTCAAGATGGTAATCAATTACTTTGAGGTAAAGCCAATCCTTGTAGACTCAAGCAGTTGTATGGATATCATCTTCCTAGAAGCCTTTGGCAAGCTGAAGTTGGAGCAGAAGGATCTTCAGCCAGTAGACACACCCCTGGTCGGGTTTAGTGGAGACGTGGTGAAGCCCCTCGGTAGAATCATGATTCCAATTGCAATAGGGACCAGGCCCAGCACAATCAAGTTTAAGCACATGTTCCTGGTGGTTGCCACCCTGTCCCCGTATAACGCCATTCTAGGTCGGCCCATCCTGCATGCACTACATGCGGTGGTGTCGACCTACTATTTGTTGATGAAGTTCCCGATAAACTATAGAGTAGCGGTAGTACAGGGCGACTAGTTGGAGTTGTGGAAGTGCTACATGGCTGCACTAAAGGGATAGGCCAAGTTGGCGGACGACGTTGAGTTGGAACCACCCCCCGAGCAAACCAAGGAGAGAGCTGCACCAATGGAGGATGATAACTCTATATTTCGATGCCTTAAGGGCATCACTTCAAGGGTATTTTTTGCCTTAGAATAGTCAAAGTATGCACTTTTCCCAGTCAAATTCAATGTTGTGACCTCTGAGGGTCTCTGTGCAAATTCTGTGGAAAACTAGGAAAGTTACATGGCTGAAAATGCAATTTTTGGGAAGCTGGTGTGAAGTCCAGCTGAGAGAGGGGGTATTTTTGTGAAAAATTGAGAACAGGAGAATGCCTCCTATCTGCTAAATTCAGTTTGGCGCCCCACCTACTGTATTAGCATGCTCCCCTATCCTTAGCAAACCCTAATGATGATGCGCAATCCGGTCGGTTCTAGCTGCCGGCCACCTTGCCTTTGACAGAGCCGAAGATGCCTGAAACAAGGAAGGAATTGGAGATTTCCGGGGAGGAACCCGGTTGGAACACTCCGAAGCTCAAGTCAGTGCTCTAGAGAAGACAAGGGAAAATGAGAGATTTCAAGACCAGAAAGCACAAAATATCACATACCTCATTCTTTGGGAGATGGGGGCCTTTTATAATCACCCTGTACACTCACTCCCATACCTCTGCCAGATCGGGCATCATCACCTCCACCAGACGCCAGTTCGGGTGTCATAACCTCTGCCAGTTGCCAGTTCGGGTGTCATAGCCTCTGCCAGTTGCTAGTTCGGGTGTCATAACCGCCACTATCCTTGTCAGGGCCGTCTCTGCTACGTCTGAGATGGCGGTGGTAGGTGGCCGTTAGAGGGTGGTTGTCATGTGTCAGACCTCTAATCAGTCAGGCGCGCCGCCTCCGTGTACGGGCTTCCTGGGTGTCAGGTACGGTTGTTCAGTCAAGCGACTTGGAGATGAAGTGGTGTG